ACGAGTAAAAGAAATCATAGTTTGTGGAAGTTTCCTATAAAATATATTTGAGTTTATAAGACCATCGAAAATCAATATGAAAAATGCATGCTACTTAAGTAGTCACTTTTGCCGAGTATGCTTTCTGCAGGAGGTCGAAAAGAAGTGCATTCAAAAACTGACATCCTAGCAAGTCTGAAATACTATAGGATTATGTTTCATAATAAGCAGTATTACAATCCCACCTAAATACTCATTCCTAATCGAAAACGCATTTCAGACTTTCAGCCAACATTTCATGAGATCGGTCATGCACTGTATGCGTGGATGTGGTGACGCCCAATACATCCAACCCCAGTACCAAATGGCTGACGATTTTGTACAGACGACTGATGTAGGACAGCGAGAAGATAGAGTGAAGTTGACTCTTGAGAATCCGTCCTTACGGCAATTAGCATATTCATCATTACAATCAATCTGACACGCCTAAGCCAATCACGACGCGACAAGAGTTATGGCTTAATGCGCTGCCTTCTGACAGGCCAGCTAGGCCCTTCTCAGGACTGAGAGTCGTATTAAGTCGTATTTCTGCACCCGATTGTCGCCAGTTGAGGTTTTTGTTGTCGGTAAAAGGAGTTTTGAGATTGGCAGTGGTAAACGGTGTTATGCAGGCCCATGGAACTCCAATTGCTTTGATTCCAACAACTGGTAGATATTTTGCTTGGCAACTGAAGCATTGAAAACGCGTTCATTTTGGAGTTTAAGCACCCATGTTGTGCAAGATGACATATTAAGACTCAAGAATTGCTCCTGAGGGTTCTGGGAACACCAGTGATGCCCCCCCCCCCAGCCCAGGGTTTTTCTTGTACAGCACATAGACATATGTCGTGCATGAAACCTACGCGTGTGGACACCTTTGATTGGTTAGACCGCGTCTGCGAAAAAAGTGAAAACAAGCTGTCGACATTACAACCAGTATGACCAGGTTTGCGTACTTAACCAACAGCAGTTAATGTGGCCAGAGAATAACGCTGTTATATTACACCTCTTCTGCCTGAGACGAGGAGTATACATGTAAACAAACGGAGGGCAGCGATTTTCGGACAAGCGAGGAAAAAGAAGAAGAAGAAGAAGAAGAAGAAGAAGAAGAGGAAGAAAAAGAGGGTTCGAGCACCAGAACGTTTTGTTTATTGTTCTGCGCTTTCGGACTCGTGAAGGAGTCCATCGTCATGGTTTGACAATTATGAACCGTCACGACCAAGAGGCCCTCACTAAATCCGAAAAAACAACAGAGCCAGCACTTATATTCACCACTTTCTCTCATATTTGTAGGAAGATCATTTATTATCATCCGGCGATACATCGTCCCTCGCAAATTAAACTAAATCAAATTCGACACATCAGTGATTCTGCTCTCAACTACCTCTGCAGTCGACGTTTATTATAGCTAATATTAATATTCCGGACGAAATAAATATGTGACGCTGGAGACCGGCCGTCCACTGCTTTCTTTTCATAAACTTGTCGAAGGTTTAACCCTGTTGGCAGGTTTTAATTCGGCCTGGTAGACGTGAATTAATACCAGCTCTGACAGCTGATTTCGCGCACATGTCCTCGAGGCCGATGTGGCGCCGGGACATTGCGTACGCACTCCACACTGCCAACCAATCAGCTCCCTGCGCGTGCGTAGGTGTGTATGTACGTGTTCGCGTGCGTGCGATGACTCATCGACCTCGGTTTGCGTTAACGCGCTACGCGGATCGCCGCGCAAGGGGCATCCCATTAGTCGACAGGAGCCGACAGATGTTAACGCGCGCAGGCGAGCCGCGGCTCGTCGTTCCTCTGTGCGACATTCACACCGTGCATCGATTGGTAAAGGCGACGCAGAGGACAGAAATGTGTGACCTGCGACTCGAAAAGCGGGAGAACACCCTTCGTAGGATTCTTCGTGGCACTTCTTTCTAATCACTTTGGATAACGTCGGTAGAAGCTGATTTGGGTGACGTCCCAGCTTACCGTTAAGGGCACCTTTGATGCCATCTGACCTCGGGGTTTTCGTTAAGCAGCCCCCTAACTACGATCACCGGTCGGTATAGCGGGCTTGACACAAGTAAAAAGTATGGTTAGATAGACTCATTAAAACGTTTGAGGTGTAACAGGTCAAATCCGCTGTTGTTCCTAGTGAGTACTCTATACGGTCTAGTCGTTATAGAAATTTTGGCAAGATTCTCTTCACATAACTATCACAGAAGAGATCGGATGTTAACCTCTGCTTTAAATCATTTCACAGAGCAAAGTAAATGCAGTTTAACACTGACATCCCTGGACAGTGGAACCATCCTCAATATCGACCTGTGGTGTTCGATATAAGCACTCTGGTGAAGACCGCGTGGGTGAGTCATTTCGCTGACTGTCCACCCAGCCTGAGCGGTCAGGTGAGCTGGCATCTGTGAAGCTGGCAGGTCGTCGATCATTCGGCCTCGAATGTTTGCTTTTCCACATTAGGCTCTGAACGTTGTAGCTGTGACACAAGGCGTTTCTCGCAGAAAACGCAATATTCTCGTCCCAACTGTAGTCCGAAATGAATCGGAGCTTTGAGAACTTTACCAGGAACTTCCCTACCCTGTTCTTGGGGTCCTCTTGCTTTTTGCTGTCTGAATTCGGCGTCCTTTCTAATATATCGGTCGTTCCAGGGTTTCGGGACGCTAACGACTGATTTTTTTTCATCTAAAATGATCCGCCTTTAGCAAAGGCCAGCATTTGCTCGTGCATTTCACATCTCTTGACCATCTTGACGCTGGCGAATAAAGACGCTGCGGTCCGAGCTAAAGATTGGTTCTACATCTAAGCTGAATTCAACCCACAGTTTTCCTAATGAACCTGTCAGTATCTCACGACAGGGTACACATAGCCAACTGCATAACTCCAGTGAGGAGTCTCACCGCTAGAAATCCTTTATTCCAATTGATCTTGTTTGGAATTTGAAACCAGTTTTTGTATCGGTGGATATCGAGGATCCCAATCGTGTTGTCTGGCATATTTCGGAATCCACCGGTTTGATTGTTCCCTCATTCTTCCTGTGAACTTATCACCTACTAGCATCATTAGTATCATAGAAAACAAAGGTCACTAAGTGTTCCGAAATGCCCTGCCATGTATGTTCACGGGAAGTGGCCTTATCTGCGGAGTTCGCCATTCTACATCACTTCTGACAGAGCCTTCTAAACAGCGTTTCCCAATGGTAGTCAGCTTTCCGAAGTAAAAGCAGGGAAACTGGCTGATAGGTAGACGCCAACGGTTGCAGACTACTGCCTTCAGAAATGGACAGCAATAATCATTCACCAGAAAACCAGTACTCGTAGGTCCTGCACGCGTTTGGGCGGCTACACTGTTTTCGAGGTTTTTGGCAGTCCTTGATTAAGACCACTTCTTCCACCTTCGCTCAGCGATAGGGACTCCTACCGCCGACGATTTTCATATCGTCTCCGCAGCACCTGGCGGTTAGGGGATTCCGCTTCCGGCAGAGAGCCACGCTGAGTAGTTGTACGTCTTTTAAATCGGACTGAGGCGGTATCCCACACCCAAGTTTGGGTGATAGAGCAGAAGCATTATAGAAAATTGCTTTTCTGAGGTAGATCCAAGAACCAACCCCAACTGACGTTGTAAATGAATGCAGGCACGTCAGGGTTTCTCAAATATGAATCAGTCACTACCAGTGGCAGTGATCTGAATAACGTATGGCGTCCTGACACGCTTGCCCTGCAAAAAATAAGTTGATTTCATGGGCAAAATTCAACAACTTGAGGAGAAGGGACATGGAACGTTTCTTCAGCAGTTTGTCGGGAATTCGGCAAAAACTTGGATGTTGCAAAATGCGCCCCTTCGTCACAAATTTGGAGACAAAACATTACTTTTGGTTTATAACACACTGTCCGAATATGTTTGTATTGAGATAAGGAAAACAAATAACAAGTCTCCTGTCCAAAAGAGCAGTTAGTTTATTTTGCCCTTTCCCCAAAATTGTCGCCTACTAGGAAGAACCCTTCATTTCGCAGCAAATAATAAGCCTGGTAATCGTTTCTTACATCTAAAACTGCTATTTAAATTGACTCTGTTCCTACTTTCTCGAGTTGTTTTCCAAACGCTTTCTGTCGAGTCCAATTTGCCTGCGATTAGTTCCCGGGCCTTCTTAACCCTGAAGGAATATCCTAAATTTACGTCGCTTTGTTCCTTTCGGAGTTTAACTGTATAATCTAACCAAGAAAGTTGCAAAAGTAAAACTACGAGCAACTGAGGAAATTGAATCAAAAATGCGCGCCACTTACTTTCCGAACTGGCACTGGCCAATCAGAGCCGGATATAGTTATATTCTAATTTGGGGCCAGTTTATTTAGCAGTTAATTCCCAGAAGAGGCCAATTCTACGTACTATGAAGAGTAAAGGAAGGTCTGTTCTCATGGGTTCCCAGTTAACGCTCTCACTCAAGTTTTTACTGAAATACCTTCGGAAATCTCGGCTACTAACAAATGTATGGAGAATTCTCGTTACAGGCCCAGTGACTTCTAAGCCGCCTTAAGAAGTCTTTACGGAAAAATAAAACAATTTATAGCACAGACCTCAACTATCGGGATCTCTTCTTTCTAAAACGAGCAATAAATTTCGACAATCCGTCTTTCTTGCGACATACGCTCCATATTTCCGAGGTATTACAATTTGTTGCGCAAATTCATCGTCATTTAGGGGCTTTGTATGGAAATGGGTTAGAACTAAATACACAAATTTTGGTAGCATCTGAGAGCTTAGGATGCCATCTTTCAGAAAAGGTACTTGTTAATGCAATTAGTAAAAGGATAAGGGAGAAATTTGTGTTAAAATATGAAAAGGTGTGTTGGTGATCAGGATGTACAGAGGACGAGGGCATGATGCACGCACGCGCGTAGTGCACTTCGATGCGAGCTAGTCACGTGTCATATATAAATGGTGTTCGCGGACGCGCTAACTAATCAGCGTTGCCCGTCGTCATGTCCGAGGCTGTTGTTGCCGCGCCTGCCGCTCACGTTGGCGTCCCCGCCAAAAAGACGAAAACTGCGAAAAAACCCTCCGCGTCCAAGAGTCATCCACCGTTCGCCAATATGGTGATCGCGGCCATAAAGGAGCTCAAGGAACGCAATGGATCCAGTCGCCAGGCCATTGTCAAGCATATTAAGTCGCACCATCCCAGTATAACTGAGAAGGTGGTGGAGGTACAGGTCCGCCGAGCCTTGATCGCGGGCGCGAAGGCAGGACGTCTGATCCACACGAAGGGTGTTGGTGCCAGCGGATCCTTCAAACTGTCGGAGAAGGCCAAGGCTCCAGCGGGTACTAAGAAGGCAGTCAAGCCTAAGAAAGCTATGAAGGCCAAGACAGCCGTTGCCAAACCGAAGAAGGTGTCTGCCAAGCCGAAGAAGACGGCCGCCAAGTCGAAGAAGACGCCTCAGAAGGCAAAGAAGGCTTCCGTGAAACCCGCAAAGGTCTCCGCCCCTAAAGTCCACAAGCCCAAGACACCGAAGAAAAAGGTTGCTGCACACAAAAGTTCTGCAGTTAAACCAAAGAAGCCGACCGTCAAGAAGACCCCCAAGAAATAAGCTCTCCCCAGACATTTTGATATACTTATATATATGTGCATATTTTATGAGAACCTTTTGCCCCTGCATTGGCATATCTTTACGTAAATTATATCGCAAATATTTTCTGCCTCAGGTTTTGCAGGATATCGCTTGGGGTTGGCCGGACCTATATCCCAATTATAGGGGCTTGTTGGGTCTTGTGGTAGTTGCTCTCCTACGGCCATGATTTCCCAGCTAACCTCGGGACGTTGTTTCCTGTGGGATGCGTTATCGGCGGCGGCTTGCGTTCTGACTGACTCGGTCAGTTTCGTACTGTCAGGTGACCGGTCCCACTGGTGGCTGATTAGAGATCGTTGGCTGACAAGCCACACCCGCTCCGAAGCCGCCTCCAGGGCCGCGCTAGGTAGGTCGGAGTGATGTCGCCGAGTATCTGATCGTGGGTGGCAGGCGCTGTAAGTCGAGTACGAGCGAAAAGGTCACCCCTAGCTGGAGACGTAGGCGGAAGGACTAGGCCGGAGGATGCGAGCTGCGTCGGCCGAACGTCTCGCAGCCGGACCTCTGACTGGTTCTCTCGGAGGGGACGGCCATCACTTGCGGCGGACGCGACACTTTCGTATCGGGGGCACACAGTGCCCAGCTACTTGCGACTTGACGCAGCAGACCCTGACTGTGTTGTCTTGCAGTGGTACAAGTGCCCAGTGCTTCTTACAGTCGATGTGTGTAATCAGGAAGGCGGGCTACCCGTCACGCTCGCGGATGGTGGAACGGCCTTCAGCGAAGGTTGGCTGTGAAACAAGCAAACTTTCAGGTCTGGTGGATATGCGGTCGCGGATTTGGAGGGCTGGGGTCCTGCGCGCCGACAAAACCGCAAAGTCCGATGACGGCGCTGCGACATGGGGACCGTCAACCGTCACGACACAAGTTTGCGTGCCACCGTTGCCTTGTGGTTAAGTTCTTGAACCAAAGCCCTAGACGACCCGAGCCGACGGAGGAGGCAGTAACCAGTGGTCGTCACTGAAAACATCAGTCTATGGAGCATCTGAGAAAATTCTTGGATATACCCGACGGCGCCTCAGTGACTGGATCAGTGGAAGAACCTTGCAGTTGTGTGCTCAGACTGCTCGAGCCAGGTCCCGTAATGACGATTCATTCCCTCGACTGCAGATGACGGCAAAATCGGTCAGGGCAACCGGAAGCAATATTTGGCTGAAGTAGCGACCTTCCAAGAGCAAAATCAGTGGTAAATCCTCGATACTGAGCGACTCTGTTCGCGATGCCGACGGCGGATTAATTGCTGAAAACATGATCAAGATCGGTCGCCGGCGTGAGCACTTCGAGCATCATTTAAACTTCCATGACCAACCCACCACGCCCCTGCTTTCCTCTGCAGCGGAGCTTTATTTCTCTCCAGTCTGTACAGTGTCACTGGACTCCCTTCTGAGGAAGAAGTCGCTAATGCAATACAAAGGCCGCACAGCAACAAAGCACTCGGAGAGGACTGTATACCCTCTGAAATCTTCAAGTCCTGTGTCGACACACTGGCGCCCTTAACAAGCGCGGGGAGACGAGGTTGCTTCTGATGACTGGGGCTCGGGCATTCTTGAGCCTATCCTCAGGAAGGGGGATAAGAAGGGACATGATAACTACCGCAGCATAAGCCTCATCGACGTTGCTGCGAGGATCTTCGCTAGTGTCCTCAGATGATTCCAGGCCGTGTGCGACTCTAGGACGAGGCCTTACCAAGCCGGATTCTATGCTGGACGCGACTGTACAGATCGGGTACTAACACTTAGACGCATTCTTGAATTTCGCCACAACTACCAACAACTGACGGCCATCTGCCCTGTTGACTTTGCCGCCGCGTTTGATTCCGTCCATCGCGAGTCCCTGTGGCGGATAATGGCGCTGGATGGTGTACCGTCAAAAAACATTGCCTCGATCATGGCTTATTACCGCTCCAACACTGTGGAAGTTCTGATTTATGACAATTTCTCCCAGCCGCTCAGTATTCGTTCTGGCCTTCAACCAGGTTGTATCCTGTAGCCCATTCTGTTCAATTACGCCATTGATTGGATTCGGAAGAACGCTCGGCACGAAGTTGACGGTGTTGATTCTGCATCCGGCTCCCGGCTGACTAACCTCCACTACGCTGTTCATATCGCTTTACTAGCTTAAAGCTTTGGCTCATTACAGTCTATGATGTCGCGCTTGAATGAGATCAGCAAATCCGTTTGTTTATCCATAAGCGCTGGGAAGGGCAAAGTGATTTCAAGCTGCATCTCTGACCAGAAGAAGGCACCTCTCAAGATTAATGACTGTAAACCCAAAGGCGTTGACAGTTTAAAATACCGTGGGACGAGGCTGCTGCCCAATGGACAGAGTAAGGACGACAGTGTCTCCCGAATGGATGCTGCTCTCTGGGTTTTCTCAAGTCTTAGACGATATCTATGGATCCGACGCAACATCTCCATCGCCACGAAGATTTGCGTGTACCCTGCATCTGTCCAGTCAGTCCTTCTGTACGGCCGTGAATGCTGGGCTGTGGGCGTGTAAGTTCAGCGAAAACTGGGGGTATTTAACCACTACCGCTTGAGGGCCACCCTTCGAGTGAAGTACACCGATTTCGTCTCAAATGAGACAGTCGGCACTTGCTGCGACAACGCCACGATGATAACTCAAACCATCCAAGAAAGACGACTGTGGTGGGTTGGACGTGCTGTTCGTCGTCTACCTCAGGAGTTTAGTGTTACTGCCCTCGATCCGCCACCGTAACTCCTTCGGAGAAGTCGAAGAGGGAGTCAAATCAAAACCTGGTTCGACACAGTCCGTCAAGACATGGAAGTGGTTCTTGAACCTTCTGAATTCGGTCTCCGTAGTTGGTGAAGAGAATGAGTTGAACGACCCAAATCTGCAGCCACTAGACGTCACGCATCGAGAGTTACGGTTCGTGACATCATCGAGGCCGGCTAGATCAGGCATGATCGCAGCCGTACCACGTACAAGTACAACAAAGTCGGCAAGTACAGAAGTGGCCGTTTACTGTTTCCGCCCTGTCGCACAGGGGTTTAAGCCTGATTCTCTGCGTCAGATAGTACTGAGTTACAGGGCGCACATCTTGTCGACTGCAATCGGGATTACCATAACACGTCTTGTAGTCAGGATGAATCGATGACTCTAGCCCGGTGCGACTTTCAATACACACTCGGCCTGTCTCGGATTGTACACCTCTGTTGAGTAGAACTGTGGCAGAAGAAAGGGCGGAGACGGCAAACCAAATGGACCAAAATGGACCAATTAACTGGGGCCGACTACATATTCCTCAAAACTGCCATGCTTCATTCGTCAGATCAAGAAACAAGCGTACGCTAGATTAAACGCACAATTGCGCAGGCGCCTGAAGAACCTATAAACAATGACGTTCTACAAGATTGCACCTTCAAAGAGCACTTTTCAGGAAGACGTATTCCTCTGCAGATCGGCCAAAACTACGTGAGATTTCGCGCAGAGTACAACCACAGACGATGTTGAAGCAAGACTGCTCGTGATCTCCAACGCGTCTCCGATAAAGCAACTACCCCGACGCCGTACAGTTTTTCCAAGGAGAGCCAATCCCACAATCCGCCGTCTGTCTCAGGAATCAGAGGCGATAAACGTTCGACGGTGTTGACACAGCATTGTGACGGAAGGGGCATTTCGTCCTACTCTCAACCCCCCGTAGACTCTGCCCTCTTAGCTGCCGCCCAGTTTGGAGGCACCAAGGCACCCGAGCGTAACTGCGGCTGTAGCCGGCCATCCACGAAGGAGAAGCCCTGACGCAGGCTGCCTCCCAGCGGCCATCTACGAGCTCTGTTTGAGAGTATGAACTGACCGAAAATATACGAACCGATGCGGTCCTTACGCCGTTCTTCATGAACGACAACAGTTCACTGCTGTAGCATGAAATCCGTCTGAAGTCACCTCCAAGGCCTTCACAGTTGCCCTCCTAAGTTGCATTTGTTCAGACTACGACACACAGACAAGGGAGCACCAGTTTTGCCGATTCTTCTAATATCGCAACTGCCATCAGCAAGTCCAATTTGGCTTGTTTCATGGATTTTGCCTACGTATTCGACTCTCCGCCTGACAGTATGTGTCCGAAGCTGCTGCGATTGTTTCAGACTCGCTAGCACCGAATTAGAGGCAAAGTCTGCGTGAATGGCGGGGATGGTGACTCCTTTGACGTTACTTTCAGTGTCCATTAGGACTGCGTTCTCTCAGTCTCAGTCGTGTGATGGATTGGACGACAACTCCAGTTTTCTATGCGTCGTCGAAATTGGTTATGTAGTCGGCGTTGTCATGTTGGTAGGTTCCTTCGAAGACGCCCAGTGAACCTGTGCATACAGTGGGTGGGCTAACTCATGAAATGTCGACTGAAATTCCGAAATGCGTTTTCGTTTCGGAAAGACTAATTAAGTAGGGTTGTAAAACTAACCATCGAGCAGCATAATTCTAGAATAATTCAGTTACCTCAGGATGCCGGCTTCCGAACGAACTTCTTTCCGGCTGCATACAAAAACTACACTCTGTAAGAGATGACTACTTAAGTAGCTCGCATTTTTCCCATTGACTTTCGACGCCCCTAAAAATTCAATTTTATTTCATGGAAAACATGCATAAAAATAGTCATTCTTTTGCTCAGTCGGTAGCACATTACGTCTTCTCGCGATTTTATGCTCAAAAGAAGGGTATAATTAGGTTTTAGAAGTTTCTGATTGTGAGGTTTTTTTAATACCGTGAAATGGCCGTTCATAAAACGTCATGTCCATGCATTTACCAATGTGGCTTGTAAAGTTGACAATATGGCTTAAATCCGTCGCCAAATTTTATGAACCCCATATGGTCTTCTCTTGATACTGTGGAGAAATATACGGTTTTCCGTACACGAAAAATATACGGCTTGTAGTTTGGGAACCCTGAACGCAAGTAAAACGGCAGGTCGGGTTCAAAATTATTCGGGAATTGGAAAAGTTTTTGAAAAC